TGCCTAATGGGTAGAAGTTACAGAGAGGTAAATTTAGATTTGATGTAAAGAAAACTTGCTAACAAAAGAACCATGCCTTCAGAGGCTATTTTATTTTATTTTATTTATTTATTTTTTTAGGCAGTTGGGGTTAAGTGACTTGCCCAGGGTCACACAGCTAGTAAGTGTCAAGTGTTTGGTCTGAGGTCAGATTTGAACTCAGGTCCAGGGCTCTATCCACTGCGCCACCTAGATGCCCCTCAGAGGCTATTTTAGTGACTACATGTTGAGGATGCTCAATGGAGATTATTGGTTAGGGAGGGTTTAGACTAGATGTTTCTTAGGCCCCTTCCAACTCTGAGATGCTACAGTCATAAACACAGAGGTGTAGACCTGCAAAGGGGGACCCCAGAGGCCATCTAGCTCAATCTCCTTATTTTACAGATGAGGAAAACGAGGCCCAGAAAGGTTAAGTGACTTGCCCTATATCATACAGGCATAAGTGGAAGAACTGGGATTCAGACCCAGGTAAAGGACCTAAGTTGAAACCCAGCACTCTCCAATGGACTGGACTGCCTCCCAGTACTTGTGTGCAAGACTGGATTTCTTCAGTTTTCTGGATTAGTCCTTTAAAAACTCACTTCTGATGAGTTTCTGAATGAGAAGCAAACTCAGCAGGCTTCTCCTTCTCTCTCAAGATTCAGGCAAACAGCTTTTGTGCACTTCAGCCTGGCCATTGAATGACTGGACTCAAGCAATAGGTAATGGATGGTCTGTGGTTGGTTGATGCTCGCCCCCTGGGCAGTGGGAGTGTCAGCTGGAATGCTCGGGTCCTGCTCTGCCCCTCATCAAGGCTCACTGCACACAGATCCTGACTGGTTGTCTTCTCCCCACACCCCACTGACCTCTGAGGTCAGCAAAGAAAGGGCCATACTTAATCGCCAGATGAGTGTGTAATTCAGTTATCTACATGGTTGAGTGGTTATCAGTGTGAGGAGCTCAGAAGCATGGGGCCTGCTGGAATGCTTCCATAACACCAGGGAGGGCCTGAAGCCCTGTTTATATTGTTGAGAAAGAAAGAGGGGACAGTGAGGGAGAGAGTAGCAGACTTGGAGTCAGCAAGAGTTTGAATCCCACCATATTAGATGTTTGACCCTGGGTAAATCACTTCACCTCGATGGGTCTCAGTTTCCTCATCTGTAAAATGAGAGAAGTGAACTCACTGACATCCAAGCTCCCTTCCAGTTCCACAGCTATGATCCTGTAAGCTTACAGGAAAGACTAAAGGGCTATTAAGCAAAATGAAAGGGACCCAGGACTTGAGTTTTGGGAAGAAAGACAGCATAGACTTCTTGTGATGGTGAACTGCTCCAGAATCAACAAGTAAAAATGCCTGCTCTATGCCAGGCACTGTGCTAGGTATTTGCGATACAACAGTAACAATGAAAAAGAAATAACCCCTGACCTCAAGGAGCTTATATTCTATCAGGGGAGATGACTTATACATATGTAAGTATTTACAACAAACAGAAGGTAATGGGGAGGGCAGGGAGGCACTAGCAGCTGGAGGTGGCACTAAAACTGAGCTTTGAAAGAAGCCAGTAGGCAGCAGGAAGAAGAAGGAGGGCATTCCAGGCATGAGGGACTGCCTGCGCAAAGGTAGTGATGGGAGATGAAATATTATGTGTGCAAGAAAGCCAGTTCAAAGGGCAGCTAGGTGGAGCAGTGGATAGAGCACTGGCCCTGGATTCAGGAGGACCTGAGTTCAAATCCGGCCTCAGACACATAACGCTTACTAGCTGTGTGACCCTGGGCAAGTCACTTAACCCCATTGCCTAGCTAAAAAAAAAAAAGCCAGTTCATTGAAGTGATGGAGGCTGGGTGTGGTGGTAGTGGAGGGTGGAATAACTCATAGACCTTGGCCATGGAGACCAAAGAGGAGAAAAATTCATCTCAGGGTCGTCACCTATCATTTGCTACTTTGTAGGGGAGAAAAGTTTGAAGCAATCATATCCCTTATTCAACTTCTTTCCCCTACTGAATTGTTTAGGAGTTTTCTTTTTTTTTTTCTTCCTGTCAAGGTAGAAGCCCTTCTTTTACACCAGTTAGATTCATTTTTGGAAAAAGCTGTCTAGCCTGGGGTGTAATGAGCCAGAACTTTATCCTGCTTCCTCTATTATCCCCATTCCTTAAAAGATAAGAATCAGAAGGAGATGTAGCCAGAGCAGATTGAGTTCTTGGCAACAAACTGAGGCTAAATATTAGAACTATGTGGGTTTTGAAGTATTTCAAGGTCAACTCTTTAAGGCGCTCACATCTCTCTGAATTATGAGATGTAGAACAGCCTTGACTAATGAATCAATGTTAACACAGAGAGGGGTCACTAGGAATATGTTTGTTGCAAGATGTGCCCTTGCCCTGATTTGCTTTTTGTTTACCCCAATGTATTTATCACTGAGCTTGAATAAAAATGTGCATGAAAGCTTAGAAAGCTTTTTTTTTTTTTTGCTTCTGGAAATTTTGCTTCTGGAAAATGATCTGGAAAATTTCCAGAACTGAGATGTCTAAAAAAAAAGCAAATAAAAGAAAATACATATGACATTTAACCTCTTTACCCCAACTTTCCCTCCTTTCCCCAAGGATAGTTTGGGTCTCAAAGAGAAATGTTGCTGAATACCAAGAAGTGTGGCTTTGAGTAGCTGTTCAGGTGCTATATCATTGCAAGCCACTAGATGGCGCTCAAAGCTCAACTTCATAGTTCATAGCCCTAGAGGTGGAAAGGATCTCAGGGGTCTCTCTCTTATTTTTTTTTTTTAAACAGATGGAGGAAACTGAGGCCCAGGGAGGGGAAGGGACTTGTCCAAGGTTGCCCTTGTAGTGAATGTTAAAGAAGGGATTTGAACCCAGGTTTTCTGACTCCAGAGATAATGTTCTCTCTAGTATACTGGCATACACAGGCCACAGCATTACTAGTGATCCTAGGTACTATTTTTAAAGCTTCCAAATAACCCGGAACCAATCCACAAAGAGCAAAAATACATTTGAAAGTGGGCACAGTCTTCTTGTTTAAGTCTTACTTGCATTCTCAGCCCACACCCAAAGAATCCACTTAGTTCACCTATCCGCTGAATGGATTTGCTATAGTTAAAATGAACATAGACTTAGAGCCAAAGGGACGGTAGAGGCTATGGAGTCTATCCCCCACCCCATTTTACAGCTGAAGAAACTGAGTAACAGGAAGAGCCATGTAACTAATAAGTGGCAGAGGCAGGATTTGAACTCGGAGCTGCTGCCTCCAAATCCAGTGCTTTAGCTCTATGTATTACTCCCAAAGTAAAGGGTTATCAACATTAACCCCCCAAAAAGAAAAGAGCAGCTCACCAGCTGCTCCTGCTACCTCTGGTAGATTCTGATTTTGCCCATGTGATTCCCTCCCTCCCCCATCTCTTTTGCATTTTGCCTTTTTGTTCTCATGGTGGAGTTGGGGAGGGAGGGGAGAAAGATACACCCAAAGGCCTTTCTTGGCAGGTGGCACTACCAAGTTTTCTGGATCTCATGGCTATAGGGAAAGGGAAAGTCATCTAACTATGTTCAAGCTGGCCCCATTTTCACTGATCACGGATTCCAACTCCTATAGGGAATGTATTCACCTAAGTGTGGCCCTTCAACTAAATCTAGTTGGATTCACTTGAGGACTTAGAGGGCCACGAGGCTGCAGGTTCCCCATCCCTGCCTGGACAAATCACCCGCTTCATACTTCCATTTGCTAGCCCTGAGAAATTCCATCCCATCCTTTTCCCTTCCTCCCCCTCCACTCCAGTCTAATCATATGGTCAGATATCTGCCTTTTCTGTGTCTCCTGTGGGTGCGTCACAGCTGGGAGGAGGGGAGAGGTTGTCCTCCCCTCCCCCCCCCCAAAATGTTGCAAAGCACTCCATCTGCCCTTTTTTTTTTTTTTTTTTGCTTAGGCAGTTGGGGTTAAGTGACTTGCCCAAGGTCACACTGCTAGTAAGTATCAAGTATCTGAGGCTGAATTTGAATCCATCTGCCCTTTCTAAAGCTCTTCTGGGGAGAATGACATCAGCCCAACTTCTGACAATGGCCCTTTGCATATTCCTTGGAGTGTCCTCCAGCTCTCACACCTGTCTCTCTTCCGCACCTCAAGAACTAGAAAAATGCAGGGGAACGTAGTTCCTTGCTGTGAGCAGGAAGCTTTTTCAACAAGGATCACTAGAGGACAAAAACAGCTAACAAGAAATTGATTTGGAAAATACTGGAGGATGGGAGATAGACAGATATTGAATGTTCCAAAAGGGGAGGCGGATTTAGACCACCGAATTTTATCTGTCCTTGGCAAAACTGGAGAAAAGGTTATTAAAATGATGGCTTCTGATCACTTAGAAAAAGAAGTTATCACTACAGGTTTGGCAGAGTTTTATTAAGAACAAGTTAAGCAGGGAAAGCTAGGTGGCGCAGTGGATAGAGCACCGGCCCTGAAGTCAGGAGGACCTGAGTTCAAATCCGGTCTCAGACCAAACACTTGACACTTACTAGCTGTGCGACCCTGGGCAAGTCACTTAACCCCAACTGCAAAAAAACAAAACAAAAACAAAAACACAGACCAATCTCTTTCTTTTTCAATGGCAGTGTGGTACAATGCATAGTGAGCTGGCCTCACAGCCAGGAAGATCTGGGTTCAAGTGCGACCTTTAACGTTACTGCTGCTATGGCTGTGGGTAAGTTACCTAACCTCTCAATACTCCAGGCCAGTGTGGTCAAACTCAAATAGAAATGGGGGCCACTAGACTTGTACCAAAGGATCCCTGTGGATGTATACTGGCTTCGAAAGCAACATATGAACATTAGCCATGTTTTGATGTATTTTTATCCATGTTGTGAAATATTTCCCAATTACATTTTCCTCTGGTTCTCGCTATACCCAGGAGTGTTGTGGGTCATGGGTTTGACGCCTCTGCTCTAGGCAACTCTCAAAGATGGTCAGTTGCAGAGAAAGTGCCTACCTGCACTGGCAGAGAGAGGTTCCTTATCCAGGATCATACAGCCATTCTAGATGACAGCGAAGACTCACAACCAGGTCCTTCTGGGTCCCGAGGCCAGCTCGTCACACAGTGCTGTATGACTGCAGATCGACTAAGTCCACATTCTCTGGAAACGCAAATTTGCAGGTTAAGTCAAAAGTCTCATGCCTTTCTTAAAATGCCTGATTCTTAAACTGGCACCAGCCTGTTACAGGCTCTCATCAGCTAACACTTGGACTACAGCAATAGCTGCTGGTTGGTCTCCCTGCTTCCAGTCTCTTCTCGTTCCAGTCCTTCCTATACTCAGCTGTTAAAGTGATCTTCCTAAATCACAGGTCTGACCTGTCACTTCCCTATTCCATAAACTCCACTGGCTCCCTATCACCTCCAAGATCAAACACAAAATTCTCTGTTTGGCTTTCAAAGACCTTCATTACCTGTGTCCCCTCTCATAACTTACACCACTTCCCACGAACCATGCAATCTCCTAACACTGACCTTCTTTTTTTTTTTTGGCTAGGCAATGGGGTTAAGTGACTTGCCCAGGGTCACACAGCTAGTAAGTGTCAAGTGTTTGGTCTGAGGTCAGATTTGAACTCAGGTCCTACTGACTTCAGGGCCGGTACTCTATCCACTGCGCCACCTAGAAGCCCCTTTAACACTGACCTTCTTGTCATTTCCCGCACAAGACACCATTTCCCAACTCCATGCACTTTAACTGGCTGTCCCCCATGCCTGGAATGCTCTTCCTCCTCATCTCTACTGCCTAATTTCTCTGGCTTCCTTCAACTCTCAGCTAAAATCTCACCTTCTGCATAAGGCCCTTCCCAATCCGCCTTAATTGAGCATTCCCCTCTATTGATTATCTCTCATTTACCCAGTATATATCTTGTTTGGACATAGCTGTTTGCATGCTGTCGCCTCCATTAGATTGTGAGCTTCTTGAGGGCAGGGACTGTCTTTGGTCTTTTTTTGTATCCCTAGTGCTTAGCACAGGGCCTGGAACACGTGTTGTTCAGTCATTTTCAGTCCTGTCTGATTCTTTGTGACCCCATTTGGGGTTTTCTTGGCAAAGATACTCAAGTGGTTTGCCATTTCCTTCCCCAGCTTATTTTACAGATGAGGAAACTGAGGCAAACAGGGGTAAGTGACTTGGCCAGGGTCACTCAGCTAGTAAGTTTCTGGGTCAGTATTTGAACTCAAGAGAGATGAGGCATCCTGACTCCAGGCCTGGTGCTCTGTGCACTGTAGCGCCACCTAGTTGTCACATAGTAGGTGCTTAATAAATGCTTGGTGACTGACTGACTGACCTAACCTACCAGTTTGGCAAATAAGGGTTATTTGGACTGGACCTGTGATTTTATCAATATGGAGAACAAGGAAATTCCCTTTACCAAAGCAGGTCAGCTCCTTTTTTGCAACTTGTAGGCTTAGAGAGTTGCTTGGAGAACTGAGAGGTTAAGTGACTTGCTCAGCGTCATGCAGCCAGGATGGGTCACAGGTGACATTTGGACCCAAGTTTTCCTGAATCTGAGGTCATCTCTCTATCCACTATACCACATTGACTCCCTTTGGCCTCAATAACTTGCATGAATAAGTCAGGGTGCAGTTTTAATTTCAAACCCTGTCTTTTTCTAATTTTATTCTTTCTCTTAGTTTTATGATAATTATTATCTTTACTCTAACAAACTGATGGTCTGACAGACTACCAACTCATATCAGGAACAAGTCATTTTCCACTCCATTGAAATATAATCAATTTCATTTGGTAATGTTATTTGGTACTCTCCATATTAAGCACCTTTGTCTTCTTTTCTGGAAGAAAGTATTCATGACAGATAGTCATGAGGCTTCTTTATAGCCTACAAATATTTGGTCTCTCTCAGTCCTTGGCTCCTGAGCTATATTTTCCAACATATTTTTCACTGAACAGAAGAGGATAGCAGATGGATTAGAAAGCAGAATCCAACAATATGATACTTACAAGAGACATACCTGAAACCGAAAGATGCACACAAAGTTAAAAGAAGTGGCTGGAACAAAATCTATTATACTTTACCTGAAGCAAGCATAGCAATCATGATCTCGGACAGAGCAGCAGCAAAAATAGACCTAAAAAGATAAACAGGGAAACTATATTTTGCTGAAATGTACCATAGACAATGAATTAATATTAATACCAAAAAAAAAAAATGCCAAATGGCATAGTATCTAAATTCTTTTTTTTTTTTTTTTTTTGCAAGGCAATCAGGATTAAGTGACTTGTCCAGGGTCACACAGCTAGTGTGTATCATGTGTCTGAGGCCAGATTTGAATTCAGGTTCTCCTGACTTCAGGGTCAGAGCTCTATCCACTGTGCCACCTAGCTGCTCATAGCACTAAATTCTTAAAGAAAAAGTTAAATAAGTTATAGGGAGAAAAAGAGAGTATAACTATAATAGTGGGAGGGGGGGCATCACATTAGCCCTCTCAGAACTAGATACATCTAAACAAAAAAGAAGTGAAGAACCTGAATAGAATTTTAGAAAGGTTAGCTATAGATCCCTGGAAACTAGTGAATGGGAATAGAAAGACATATACCTGTTTCTCAGCTGTGCATGACACCTTCACAAAAATGGACCATGTACTAGAGCATAAAAAAATAAAAAATGAATGCAGGATAGTAGAAATATGAAATGCTTCTTCTATAGACTACAAGAAATAAATATATTCAATAAAGAGCTGCTGAAGAAATTATTAGAAATTAATTGAAAACTATATAACTTAATCCTAAAGAATGGGTGGGTCAAAGAAAAATGGAATAATGTAAATTATGGGTAGGCTAAGTCATGCTACCAACATCCTGATAAAGACTATGGGCTCAGAGTACAGATTGAGACATAATTTTTTGGAACTTGGCAAAGAGAGGAATTTGTTTTGCTTGACTATATATGTTTCTAACTGGGGCTTTTATTTTTCTTGCTTTCTCAATGCAGGGGATGGGGGAAGATGGGAAGGAGGTAAAATATATCATTGTTTTGAAAATAATTTTCATTAAAATTAAAAAAAATAAATGGGACTACAAAATAATATATGTATTTTAAGTACCGCATGGACCATTTATAAAAACTGATAGCATATTAGGGCATAGGGACATTATAAATAAATGCAAAAAAGCAGAAATAATATGCTCATCCATTACAAACCATACTGCAACAAAAAGAGTAATCAGTTCAGTGATCACATATAGAAAAGTCACAGACCCAAAAGGAGACTTAATAATGAAATTCTAAATAATGAATGGGCTTTTGGGTATTAAAACCAAAGTTAGTGCCTGGAATACATAATGGGCCTGATGAATGTATGTTTAAGGGAATTCTGTATAATGATGATGAGAAGGAGGAGGAGGATAATGATAGTTAACATTTATATGATGCTTACTATGTGCTGGGCACTAAGTTACAATTACTATCTCATTTGAGCCTCACAACAACCTTGGAAGGTAGGTGCTATTATCATTCCCATTTTACAGATGAGGAAACTGAGGCAAACAAAGGGTAAGTGACTTGCCCAGGGTCACATAACTAGTAAGTGTCTGAGGTGGGATTTGAACTTAGGTCTTACTAACTCCAGGCCCAGCACTCAATTCACTGTATCACCAAGCTGCTTCTCAGTCTTTTATGTTTTCTTAGGGATTCCAAGAACAAAGGGGCCCACTGGAGAGCCTGGAGTGGCAGGCTGCATTGTGGATATGAGTGATTGCTGAAGTAATCTGGTCACAACAGGTTCCCCTGTACTCCAGCTGTGGGGATCAACCAGCTGTTACTATGGAAGGCCAAAGAAAAGCTCACTACAGAGGTCTTGGTAGCTTGTCCAAATGGAAGAGGAAAGGACTTGACCAGTTTTCTCTAGCCACCTTGGATCATAAACAAGGGAACTCATAGCTAGAGTGCCCCTCTACCTTCCTTTAGCCTTTCCTCGGGATCACTCATCTCCCACCCAAGCGAAATCTCCTCTCTTACCTTAGCTTGAGTGGCCAATATAGTCACCATCTCAGAGCTCAGGAAGCTTTTGTCAACTTGGCAACCTCTCCTTTTTGGACCCCATCATCCTTCCTTGATTCTACCCTGATTCCATGTCACTTCTTATATTTGGATTATAACTAGAGTAGTAAACATAACAATAATAATATTATTATACAACTCATTATTATATAAATAATATTATTATCATCATTATTACAACTAGCATTAATAGAGCTCCTACTATGTGCTAGGCACTGTGTTAAGCACTTTACAAATATTATCTCATGTGACCCTTACTATAACCCTGGGAGGTAGATGCTACATATCATTTTACAGTTGAGGAAACCAAGACAAATAGAGATGAAGTGACTTGCCCAGGGTCACATAGCTAGTAAGTGTCTGAGGCTATAATTGAACTCAAGTCTTCCTGCCTGTAGGCCCAGAGCTCTAGGCACTGTGCCACCTAGCTGCCTCCAAACTTGACTGGGTGGAAAAGAGAAGAACAATAAACAATGATGAATTTCTGAGCAACATTTTGCCATGACTCACCTAAGAAAACATCATATAACCTATTTCTACACCTTGCTCACCCCACCTCCTGCTCTCCATACCCCCTGAATCAAGAATTAAACCCTTGAAGCAATCCAAATGCATGGAAATCAAGACTTACAAAGATTGTTGATCGCTCTAGCAGGGAATTGGAAAGAATGCAATTACTCAATGATGGGGAATAGCAAAAAAAAATGGTGGCAATGGATTATAATGCAACATGAGTATGTTGTTAGAAATGACAAATGTGAAAAGTTCAAAGAAGCATGGAAATATTTAGACCAGCTGATGCAGAATCAGGTTAGCAAGGCCAGAAAAGAAATATACCCAATGATGACAACAATGGAAAAGGAAAAGACTACAAGGGGAAACTGAAAAATGTATAATGACAGTGATCTCATTTGGCCCCAGTGAAGAACTGAAAAAGTCTAACTGCTTCCTTTCATTTGAGAAGTGTGTTGGTGTGGTGTGGAGTATATACCTTTAGATTCAGTTGATTCTTTTGGCTGAACTGCTTTTGCCTCTGGGTAATTTTACCTACTCCGTAGCAATGAATGACTTGCTAGAAGAAAGATGAGGGATACCTTTGAGGGTGATGTCAAAAAGACAACAATAAAACAGATTCTGGGGGGAAGAATCAAAGCAACATGCGATTATCAAGCATGTGTTATATTCTAGGCATTATGTACATAGGTCAGGGTGAGGAAAAAAGGGCTACCAAAAATGGTTTTGTTTTTTTTTAACCAATTGGGGATAAGTGACTTGCCCAGGGTCACATAGCTAGTAAGTGTCAAGAGTTTGGTCTGAGGCCGGATTTGAACTCAGGTCCTCTTGACTTCAGGGCCGGTGCTCTATCCACTGTGTCATCTAGCTGCCCCCTCAAAAATGTTTTTTAATATTCTTTCTTTCCATATCAGAAATTTCCCACTAACTCTATACTCACTGACTATGACACAGAACCCATTACTCTAGCCAGAGTGGTCCAAGAATGTCTATTGGTCCTGTTCGAACATGGATTTCACACCTTCAGTCCACCGCCTATCTCTGAAAGAGGGTAAGGTTATGATACACCATCAGTGTCCAGAGGTCATAACTGGACATTGCATTGATCAGACTTCTGCATTCCTGTAATTCTTTGTACCTCAAACACACTCCAGCCCTCTATAACCAGCCAAGAAGGATTCTACTCAACCACTGCACAGGACAGGGACTCATCACCTACATTGGCACCCTTCCCCTTCTATCCTGTCCTCACTGAGACTCCCAACCTGGAGAGAGATAATGTACTCCACACTGGGGTGAATCCTTAGCCAGAGTTATCCTACCTGATCATTGAGGGTGAGTGCCTCAAATATGCCTCAGTGAGAACCATACATACAGTTATCCCTTCCACATTGCAGGGGTTAGGAGTGAGGTGCCCCACAATCTGGAAAATCCACGTAAAATGTTTTGGCCTTCCCTTCACACCAGAGAAGTCATCTGAATTATTATGGTATTAAAAGATAAAATATATTGATATCATATAATACTATACACATATTTTATGCATTTTTGAGTTTCTAAATTTTTTCTGGGTCATCTGCTGGCCTTCATGTGTCATCTGAGGCTTCCATTAAACTCCCCCAAAATTCCCATTTAATTTCTTAGGCCAAAACCACGATGAGGAAAGTCGCAATGTGGAAGGGATAACTGTATTCAGTTAGGCCCCAGGACTCCTAATCTGTACTGCCTACAAGGATAACCCACCCTACTCTCTTTCCTGCTCTTACACAGGGTCTGATCATAAAATCAGAAGCATCACTGCTACTGGGATGGACTTGGAAACTTACTGTTCACTGTGATTCCAAGTTCTGGAATTACCTGGGCTGAGGATCCCTTCCCTGGCCAGGTTCATCCCTATCCCTGTCAACCCCAACTCTGTTACTATCTCAGTCTTTCCTGCACTTTCACTAGGCCCTCTGTCACTCCTGATGTATTTTGAACAAACTATGCTTCATATCACACAGGTGGTTGCCCCTACTATCCCCACTCCCAGACTTGAGTACAGTTATCCCCTCCATATTGTGACTTTCCCCATCACGGTTTCAATATATTGCAGGTCGACGTAAGAAATTAAATGGGAATTTGGGGGGAGTTTTGCAGAAGCTGCAGATGACATGTGAAGGGTAGCAGACAACCCAGAAAAGTTTAGAAACTCAGAAATGCATAAAATAAATGGATGGTCTTGTATAATATCAAGAAAAAAGAGAAGGAAATCCATGAAGCTGGAAGACTTCTCTGATACGAACAGAGGACCAAAAAATTTTATGAGGATTTCCCAGATCATGGGGTGCCACAACCCTAACCCCTGCAATGTGTAAGGGATAACTGTATGATCTTTTTGTATTTAATTTTCTATGTATGCATCATTTTCCTGCAATAGCCTGTAAGCTCCTAGAGGCTAGGGAGGGCTTTGGATTTTGCCTTTATGTCCTGAAACTTAGCCTGGCACCTGGCACACAATCCAGGTCTGCTCCATGCATGTTTAAGGAAATTCTCTCTCTCAATCTCTTTTTACCTTTCCACAGCGGTGGAGCCCACTGGACAGTCTGGAGTGGCAAGCTTCATTGTAGATGCAGGTGATGCCCCGGGCTCCAGCTGTGGGGATGAACCAGCTGTTACTATAGAAGGACAGGTGAAAGCACATAACACGGGCCCTGGAAACTTGTCCCAAATGCAAGGGGGAAAGGACTTGACAGGTTTCTTCCAGCTACTTTGGATCATAAGAAAGAGAACCCATAAATACAGTGCCCCCACCCACCTCTAGCCTTTCCCTGAGATCACTCATCTTACATCCAAGCCAACTCGACTTCTTACCTTAGCTTGAATGGCCAGTATAGATTCGCCCTCTCAGAGCTGGAGCTCAGTAGCCATTTCTTAACTTGGCAACCCCTTCTTTTTGCCCCCATCATCCTCTCTTATCTCTCTTTTGCCTCTAGTTGACTTTTTACATAGTCTGATTATAACTGGCCCAGGAAACATGACTGCATGAAAGGAAAAGAGAAATGCAACAATAAATAACAATGACCTGCCGAGTAACAATGGGTACATTTTCCCATGAGTCACCAAGGAATAAATACATCATCAACTGACAGGTGTACCATCACCACCCACCCCACCCAAGCCATTCCCTTTCCCCACCCTGCCCACCTTGAAACAATCACTAAGAATGAAAATCCCGATTTACAAAAATGATTCATCTTAGACACTCTTCTCTCTTTTTTCCCCGAAGGATGCCTTTAGAAAATATATGGACATTCTTATGTATATGAGGCATCAGCAAATGGACAAAGGGGATAATATATGGTAATGGTCAATGTTGGAGGGTTTCAAGTTGACAGATGGATTGAGTCACTGCTGGTGGGAGTCTTTAATTGGTCCAATCATACTGTAAATCAATTTGAAATTAATTTAAAAATGTGACTAACATGTCCGTGACTCTTGACCCTCAGGTTCTACCACTAGGCATAAATTCTAAGCCATCAAAGACACACAGAATGGTCCCAGGAGAACCAAATATTCATAGTAGCCATTTTTTTGAAGCTAGCAAGGAACTGTAATCAAAGCAGTCCACCGAGTGGAGAATGGCTAAAAAGTTGTGGCATGACACTGTAAAGGACCATGAGTGTATTCTCAAAAATGATCAGTGTGAAGAGTTCAGAAAGCATGGAAATGTTTAGACTAATAGATGCAGAATCAAGTTATCAGGATCTGAAAAACAATATAGTCCATGACTACAACAATGGAAAAAGAATAACAAAAAGAAACTGAAAGGTATGTAATGCTAATGATCTCATTTGACCCCAGTGAATAATTGACAAAGTTTACCTCCTTCCCTTCACTTGAGAAGTGGGAGACTCATGGTATGGAATGTAGTATAGACTTTTTGACTCTGTTTATGTTTTGGTTCTTTTGGTTGAACTGATTTTTCTTTCAACTCTTCCTTCCCTCCTGCCCCCATGGACATGGCTGGCTGGTTAGGAGGGAAACATGAGGGATACCTTTGGAAAGGAAGGTGATGTCAAAAGAAAAGATATCAATAAAACAGATTTTCCTTGAAAAGACAAATCAAAATGTAATTCATAAGCATATACTATGTTCCAGGTACTTTGCACATTGAGGTCAGGGGAAGGAAAATGCCCCAAAATAAGTTTTATTAATGATCTTGTGGATGTGAGGCATCTAGCAAATTGGCAAAGGTGACAAAAGATAGCAATAGTCAACGCTGTAGGACTTTGAATAATCAGGTGGACTGACTGACTCTTGGTAAAAATGTAGTCTAACCATTCTGGAAATCAATTTGGAATTATTTGAAAGAAGTGATCATAATTCTTGATCTCCAGGTTTTATAGCTAGGCCTAAATACTAAGCCAGTCAAAGACACAAAGACAGGTTTTAGGGGTACTAAATATTCATAGCAGCCCTTTTAGGTGCCAGCAAGGAAATGGGAACAAGCCATTGCCCACTGATGTTGTTTTCGTTGTTTACTTGATCAATCGTGTCTGACTCTCTGTGATCCCATTTGGGGTTTCCTTGGCAAAGATACTGGAGCGATTTGCCATTTCCCTCTCCAGCTCACTTTACAGATGAGGAAACTGAGGCAAACAAATTGAAGTGACTTGCCCAGAGTCGCATAGCTAGTAAGTGTCTGAAGCCAGATTTGAACTCAGGTCTTCCTTATTCTAGGGTCAGCACTTTATCGACTGCAGTGCCACCTAGCTGCCCTTGCCCATCGATGGGGAATGGCTAAAAAAAATTGTGGTACTGGATTGTAAAAGAACATGAGTATGTCGTCAGAAATGACAAATGTAAAGAGTTCAGAAAAGCATGGAAATGTTTTGACTAGCTGATACAAAATTAAGTTAGCAGGACCAGAAAAACAACAATGGAAAAATAAAGAATGACAAAAGGAAACTGCAAGATATGTAAGGACAATGAGCCCATTAGGCCCCAGTGAAGAGCTGACAAAGTCTACCTCTTTCCCTTAATGGAAGTAGTGGAAGGATGCTCATTTGGAATGTGAGGCACATCTTCAGTCTTAGTTGATTCCTTGGTTCCTTTGACTGAATTGCTTTTTCTTTTGACTTTTCTCTTTTTCTCTCTTCCATGGCAATGGATGGCTTGCTGGGAGGGAACCATATGGGATACCTCTGGACATGAAGGTGATGTAGAAAGAGAAGATATTAGTAAAATCTATTTTCTTTGAAAAGTCAAGTCAAAATGCAATTAATAAACATGTGCTATATTCCAGGAACTATTTATAGAGAAGTTAGGTGGGGGAAGGAAAGAATACAAAAAAAGTTTATTAATGCTCTTTTTTCCATTTTAGGAATTTCCCACTGTCTCTATGCCCACCCACCTTGTCACATAATCGATTACTCTGGCCAGAGCAGTCCAAGAAAATCTATTGGCCCTGTCTGAGCATGGATTCCACACCTTGAGACACCACTTGTCTCCAGAAAGGAGCAAGGGTGGTGGGTTATTGCTACACCATCAGTGTCCTGAAGTCATAATTGGACATTTCATTGATCAGACTTCTACATTCTTGTAATTCTTTACTTCAAACATACTCCAGATCTCTTTTATGAGTGACTCCTATCTTCCTCTAGCCTTTTCCTGGTAACACTCATCTTCCAACCAAGCCAACTCTCCTTTTTACCCTAGCTTGGGCGTGTAAGTTCAGATTCATGCTCTCAGAGCTAGAGCTCAGGAGGCTGATAGCCCCTTAACAGTAATTCCTTTTGGCCGCTATCATCCTTCCTTTCCTCTTCTTTGCCTCTGAGTCAATTACGATATATTTTGATTATATCTGGACCAGACAACATGCCTGCATGACTGGAAAAGAGAAGAGGAATAGTAGCAATTATTTTCTGCTCAGCTACCTCATTCTTCCCTGCCATTACACTGTGCCCTCTGCAATCCCTGTTATATTGTAAACAGCCTACCTCTCATTTTACACATAAGATCACTCTCACCATCCCACCCCAAAATTATTTTTAATATGCTTTGCATTTATGTATGTATTATTTCCCAGCAATTGCCGGTAGGTTCTTAGATACACGAAAGCCTTTTGCTTTTCTCTTTGGGTCCTGAAACCTAACCTAGCACCTCACACATAGCCTGGGTCTGACAAATGCTTGTTCAAGGGAATTCTGACTCTCAGTATCCAAGGATGATGGAGCCTAATGAGGGGCATGGTATGGCAGGCTGCACTGGGGAAGTGAGCAATACCTTACTGAAGCAATCCAGTTGTAGGTGGCCCTGCTGTGGGGAGAAACTTGCTGTTATCATGGAAGGACAAGGGAATACCCACAACAAACTTCTTGTTATCTTGTTCCAATTGAAAGGGAAATGAGTTTGACAAGTTTCCTCTAGTAACCTTGTATCATAATCAAGGTAACCTATAACTAAAATGACCCCACCCTCCTCTAACCTTCCCTGGGACCACTCTTCTCCCGTCCAAGCCAACTCTCCTTCTTACCTTAGCTTCAGTGGTACAGTTTATATTCATTCTCTCAGAACTGGAGCTCAAGAAGCCTTTGTAGCTTGGTAACCAATCCTTTTGACCCTCTTGATTTTTCCTTACCTTTTCTTTTCCTCCAAGTCACTTCCTAGACATTTTGATTATATCTGGACCAGGTAACATGACTGGGTGAGCGGATAAGAAAAGAGAAGCAGTAAGTAACTAAGTGTAATTCAATCAAATCACAAATATCGGCCATGTTTTCTGATGGGTCCCAATCCTTTGGTCCACCTTGGAATTAGGGTTTTGCCCCCGGAGCCTGTTGTACAAGGATGCCACTTTTACATCCCCTAGCACCATAAAAATTGTCACATGACCACCATGAATACTCTCAGATTGACACAGTCCCTTTCACATCTCCATCCTATCATTTCTGTAGCTCTACAATCCTCATTGGCACACGGCCACTACCATCACTATCATCTCCAAGATCATCATTGTTATATCACCACTTTCAGATCATAACCATTACTTTCTTTTTTGGATACTTTTTGTTCTGAACTCAAACACACAAAAATAATATTTCCAGATAAATATCAGAACATAAAATAGGATTTTTTTATGTAACCAGGAATCTCCATTTCATACTCTTTATTTTATTTTTAAAATTGTAAAATTAATTCTGGACATTGCTCTCAAAACCATCCTGCTGTTTGTGTCCCCTCTTTACCTCAAACATATTCCAGATCTCTTTTATGACTGACTACTTTGACTTGATTGTTTTCTTCTATTTTTTAAAAAATGTATCAATGGACCTCTTTTTTGAAATTATTAGTATTACTGACACAACCTTATAATCAATTGTTCATCTGGTTTTTTTTACTTCACTCCATATCACTTCATACTATCCATGACTTTCTAAAATTATTTTTCATAATTTCTTGTGGCCCAACAATATTCCATTATCTTCAAATAACATAAACTTTTGTCTTTTGGTATGTTATATTCCATGATACTTTTCTGGTTTTTAGTAAAAGCTTCCAGGTTTTGTGTCATCCTGATTGTAATGTAACATACAAAATTGATTCTTATATTCTTATATTAATATAATATAGTATATAATATATAATAATATATAATATATTATACGATTAATTATATATTATATATAATTGCATATTATATTATTAATATAATATAGTATATAACATATAATAATATAATATTAATATAATATAATAGATTCTTAGATTCTTATATTAATCATTTTATGATTCTTAAATACCTCTTTTTGACTTGTTTTCCAAGGCCATTGTTGTTATCACATATATTACATTTGTTGTACTTAAATAAGTTTGTTGGTACTTAAACTCTTTCTTTCTGGCTGCTTCTGGTATTTTTTATTTGCCTTGAGAGCTTTGGATTGGTTATGAGGTTCTTGTGACTTTTGATCTTTGCATTCTTTTAAGGAAGTGATAGGTGGATCTTTTTTGTCTATAATTTGCCCTCTGTTTCTAATAGATGTGGGGTAATTTTCATTGATAATTATTTATATTCTATAGTCCAAGTCTTTTAAAATTATGGTTTGTTTTTTTTTTTTTTTTCAGAAAATCTAATGATTTTTTTTTTTTTTTGGTGAGGCAATTGGGGTTAAGTGACTTGCCCAGAGTCAAACCGCTAATGAGTCTGTGTCTGCAGTTGGATTTGAACTCAAGTCCTCCTGACTCCAGGACAGGTGCTCTATCCACTGTGCCACTGAGTTGCCCCTGAAAATCTAATGATTCTTAAATATTCCTTTTTTTACTTGTTTTCCAAAGCAATTGTTATCATGTACATTACATTTTTTCAACTAGGCCTTAAATCCCTATCTTATACCATATTAAGCCAAACATAAAAAAAATCAACACACTGACCATGTCTGGAAATGGATTCCACAAGTAATCCACCATATCTCTCCTGAAAAATGGGAAGCATGCCTCATCATCAGACTCTGTGGTTATAATTGAATGCTGCCTTGATAAGACTTCTGAAATTGGTCATTATTGTTTTCTTTCACATTACCATGGCCACCTCTACCACTATCAATTTCACATCACTAGCCCTGTTTTCACATTCTTACTATCCTGTAACATTAGAACCATCAGCACCACCACATCCTTAGCACTTTCACTTTGAAAAAGTCAAGAACAACATTGTCAAAATCTTATAAGCTTCACTGTCCTATTCTCAGCTCCATCACTATTACATTCTTACAATCCACATTGCCACATGGTCACCATAAGTACTAGAACTCCATCATCATCATTTTCATATCCCCATCAATCATTGTCACATATGTACCCACTAATAACACTGTTATATAATCACTATTAGAGGCTATATCCCCATCATCACCAACTTCACATTGCCAACACACTATCACATCTATACCATCAATGAAAAGTGTTAGGCCATTCCTAGCCAGTCCAACACTTTCATCAATCCTGCTTCATGTTTTTCCAAGGTAAACACAAGAACGATGAAGGGCAGAGCCAAGATGGCGGCGTAAAAGCAGTGACTTGCTTGAGCTCTCCCCCAAACCCCTCCAAATACCTGTAAAAAATGGCTCTAAACAAATTCTAAAGCAGCAGAACCCACAAAAAGACAGAGTGAAACAAATTTCCAGCCCAAGACAACCTGGATAGTTGATGGGAAAGGTCTGTTAAGCTGGGCTGGGAGAGGAGCACAGTTCAGCATGGGCCACCCAAACAAAGACCAAGCTTCAGCGAACCTGGAGCAGGCCTCAGGGGAATGAATCACTACCAGCTGTAGTGGTTTCCAGACTTCTCAACCCACAAATGCCAAAGACAACTTAGAAGGTCAATAGGAAAGGTCTGTAGGACCCGGGTGAGAGAGGTGTGCTGTCTGGCCCCAATCCTGGCACAGCCTAGGGCAGTGGCTGCTTCCAGAGTTCTTGGCACACAGACAGTGGGGGGGATCAAGTGGCTGATCAGAGGGGGATTGCAGGGATCTCTTGGCTGGTGCTGAGGCAGTATTCTCTTGCTTTGACCATGCTTGGAGCTGGGTTGCAGTCCTAGCTGGTGGTCCTGGGGTGAGGAGGAATATTGGCATGGTAGATAGAGATTGTGGCGGTGGTGGAGAGGGAATCCTCACAATTCCAAGGCAGAAAAGTGTGCTTGTGGTCACTCATAGACCAGAGCACAGGCCAGGAAAGGAGTAAACACCTCGCCCTTGATCATACCACCTTGGAAGAACTGAAAATTTATAGGTCACTAGAAGTATCTCTGAAAACAGCTGTACAAAACCCCTGAAGCTTGGAACAGTACATTCTTCACACTGGAAGCAGACTCCTACCTTAACAAAGAGTTTAAAACTCAAGTAATTGGTGGAACATAAGCAAACAGCACAAAAAACTCAGGCCACAGAATCTTACTTTGGTGACAAAGAAGATCAAAACATACAACCAGAAGAAGACAATAAAGTCAAAGCTCCTACATCCAAAGCCTCCAAGAAAAATATGAATCTGTCCCAGGCCATGGAAGAGCTCAAAAAGGATTTTGAGAAGCAAGTAAGAGAAGTAGAGGAAAAACTGGGAAGAGAAACGAGAGTGATGCAAGAAAATCATGAAAAACAAGCCAATAACTTGCTAAAGGAGACCCCCAAAAATACTAAAGAAAGTAACACCTTAAAAATAGCCTAACCCAAATGGCAAAAGAGGTCCAAAAAGCCAATGAAAAGAAGAATGCCTTAAAAAGCAGAATTGGGGCTCAGATTCTGGCTTCCAGGAGCCAAGATGGCAGAGTAAGAAGTAAGTCACTCTTACCCTCCCTTATTAACCTCTGAAAGCCCATAAAATATCGCCCCAGGAAAAACCCTGGAACAGCTGAACCAGAAGAAAGATGGGGTGCAACAGTCCAGTAGCCCAGGTAGCTTGAGGGATTAACTGGAAAGGCCCCTCTTACCCTGGGGGAAGGGGAGCAGTACAGAAAGGGATCCCAGCAAGCTAGCGGAAAGCCCCACCTCAGCATACCAGGAGGAGATCCTGAAACCCAGATGGTACAGCAGGCAAACACCAACACCTGGACCCCCAAGTGCCTCAGTAAGGATGGGGGAACCGGTGGAAACCAGCTTGAAAAACCACCAGGTGCCTCAGCATTCTATGGCAACTAGCTCTCCCAGTGCCTCAGCAAAACTAAGGGAAGTAGTGCTCCAAGGTGCCCCAGGCAGATAAACATCCTGCAACATCCATCTGAAAGGAGCTGAAGAAAGCAAAAGGAAGGAAAGGCCCGGGTGAACAGGAAATCTCCAAGAGCCACACTACCCAATCCTACCCCTAGAGTTCCAGTATTGCTGATTCCATCCCAACACCAGGTAAGCTGCCAGAACCCTACAGCCTCCAACTGCCAGAATTGGAGGCCCCAGCACACAAAGCCACTGACTAGGCCCTAGGCTCCCAACACAAGAAGCTTGGGTCAGTGCCCTCTGCTCCCCAGCAGGAGAGCTCAATCTCTTTAAAGGCCAGGAAATAATCAAACACCATGAGCAAAAAGAAAAGTACCATAGATTCTTATTATGGGAAGAGTGAAGATCAAGGCAGAAACTCTGAAGAGGACAACACTGTCAACAAACCCACATCTGGAACCTCAAAAGGGAATATGAACTGGTCTGAAGCCCAAAAAGCCTTCTTAGAAGAGCTCAAGAAGGATTTTAAAAGTCAAAGGAGAGAGGTAGAAGAAAAAATGGGAAAAGAAATGAGAGGTATGCAAGAAAGAGTCAATAGCTTGGAAAAGGAAGGACAAAAATTAACTGTAGAAAACAAGTCCTTAAAAAATACAATTGGCCAACTGGAAAAAAAAAGTACACTGAAGAGAACAAGTCCCTAAAAAATATAATTGGCCAAATGGGGAAGGAGGTACAAAATCTAATAGAAGAAAACAATTTGTTAAAAATTAGAATTGGGCAAATGGAAGCTAATGACTACGAGAGAGCAAGAATCAGTCAAACAAAAACAAGAGTATGAAAAAAATAGATGAAAATGTAAAATACCTCATTGGTAAAACAACTGACCTGGAAAACAGATCCAAGAGAGACAATTTAAAAGTTATTTCACCTCAAAATTTAAAAAGAGACTTTTAAAATAACTTTAAAAAGTTATTTCACCTCAAAATCATGGTGAAAACAAGAGCCTGGACAGTATCTTTCAGGAAGTCATAAAGGAAAACTGCCCTGAGGTCCTAGAACCAGAGGGTAAAATAGCCATAGAAAGAATCCACTGATCACCTCCTGAAAGAGATCCCAAATTGAAAATGTCAAGGAATATAGTAGCCAAATTCCAAACTTACCAGGTCAAAGAGAAAATACTGCAAGCAGCCAGAAAGAAACAATTTAAATATCATGGAACCACAGTCAGGATTACACAGGACCTTACAGCTTCTACATTAAAAGACCGTAGGGAGTGGAATATGATATTCCATAAGGCAAAGGAGCTTGTATTACAACCAAGGATCAATTACTCAACAAAAATGAGCATGATCTTTCAGGGGAGGAGATGGATATTCAATGAAATAGGGGACTTCCAAACCTTCCTGATAAAAAGACGAGAGCTCAACAGAAAACTTGATCTTCAAATACAAGACTCAAGAGAGACATAAAAAGGTAAACAGGACAGAAAGAAACAACATGTTATTAATAAGAGCAAACTGTTTACATCACTACAAGGGAAGATGACACTTGTAACCCTTGAGAACTGTATTGTTATTACAGCATGTTAAAGGGGTATACATAAAGGGGGTGGGTTAATGATAAAAAAAATCTAATCAAGTGGGTTAAATGGATCCAA